ACCCTAAACCCTAAACCCTAAACCCTAAACCCTAAACCCTAAACCCTAAACCCTAAACCAAACATACAGCCCCCCTCAGAGTCGTTGTGGGAACCACTTTGTAACTCTGAGGCTGCAAAGCCATGCGGCGCGGTGGCTCGTATCGAGCCTTATAAGACCCCCTATTCCAAAAGAAGCGTTTAGGGTTTAGGGTTTAGGGTTTGTTTAGGGTTAAGGGTTTAGGGTTTAGGGTTACATGCTGAGAGTGCCGCTTTCATGCTCCGACTTGTCCTTCAAACACCTCTCCAAGATCTGGGGATTGGATCTGATAAGTTTAGAGTTCCACGGGCCCGAATGCCCTTAAACCACCCTAAACCCTAAACCCTAAACCCTAAACCCTAAACCCTAAACCCTAAACCCTAAACCCTAAACCCTAAACTAAACCCTATATAACCGATCAAAGTTCAACCCGGAGGCCCCCCAAAAAAAAAAAAAAAAATCCAGCCCCCAGGCATGGTGGTTCGCGAGGTCAGAGGGCATCCAAACCCGGCATCTGAGAGGTTTGCCTTGTGGGTTTTAGGGTTTAGGGTTTAGGGTTTAGGGTTTAGCACTTTGGGTTTAGGGAAAATGCTTGCGGATTGACCCAAAACTTTTGAACATGGGGAACTCAAGGGTAACATTTGGGTGAACCCTACAGGGGTTGCACTCCGCAAGTGAAGGGGGTCAAGGCTGCCTGCTACTACCGGCACTTAGAGGGGTCTTGCATAAGATGTAAGCGCACGTTCTGTAAGGGCCCATTCAGGACGTGCTATTTATGCTGCGCTTATTACCCCTAAGCCCTAAACCCTCGACCCTAAACCGTATAAACCCTATCTTGGGGTTTAGGGATTAGGGGCCCGAAACCCTAAACCCTAGCCCTAAACCCTAAACCCGAAACCCGAAACCCTAAACCCTAAACCCTAGAAGATCCCGCCTTGCCAGCTCCGCCCCTGGTCGATCAGGGCATGCTGAAGAAACCTGGAAGTTGAGGCAGGCTTGGGGGGGGGGGGGGGGGGGGTGGTTTAGGGTTTAGGGTTTGGGGTTTAGGGTTTGGGGTCCCGAAATTGAAATGCTATACCCCGGAAGGTTCAGGTACTTTTGGTGTTTTTGAGATTGGGTCGTTGGGTTCAGGGTTTGAGGCTTGGGTGGTTGTTGCCGTCGTTGGCTTGGGATGGGGCGTTTAAGGGTGTAAGAATTCAGGGTGTGGGGTTTAGGATTTCCGGGTTTGGGGTTTTTGGGTATTTGCTTGATGGGGTTAGGGCATTAGTGAAGCCCTGCACCCCCAAAGGGCTTGCGTATTAGGCGTGAGTTCTGTCTGGCATCCTAGCTTGGGTCGGGTCGTAGGGCCTGCAGGCTGCAGGTTGGGACTAGGTTTCGGGTTTAGGGTTTAAACCCTAGACCATAAGCCCTAAACCTTCTCGTCGGATTGGCAGGAATCCGGTTGGCTTGCAAGCCTGTCTGCAACGGGGATTTCCACGACTTTGAGAGACGCCTCAAGCGTGGAGGTGGCCCCCAGCCGCCAGACGGCTTGGGAAGTATGCACCCGGGAGCGCGGCGCAAAGCACCGTGCCATGGAGGCGAAGTTGGTCCAGGCAGCGCCAGTACAGAAGTTGTACTTGAGGAGGGAACGCCGCGATGATGCCGAGTTTCCAGCCCCCGGGGTCGGACCGACCACCCTCAGGACCCTAAGCCCTAAGGCCTAAACCCTAAACTCTAAACCCCAATCCCTAAACTCTAAACCCTAAGCCCAAAGAGATCCGCGGACCATGTGGCTCCAAAAACTGTCACAAAACCTCAAGCTCATTCCCTACCAAGAACCAGTAGGAAAACAAAAAACCCTAAACGCTAAACCTTGAACCCTAAACCCTAAACCCTATCCGTAAAAGCAACACCGGACAAACCCCCCAGGCCCCCAGAAGCCTTCAACCCTCGACTGAGGGTTCAGGATTGACGCCTTGGCGGTTCAGGGTTTGGGGTTTAGGATTTCAGGGCTTTGGGGTGTTGGGGTCTTGGGGGCTTTGCGGGGTTTAGGGCTTATAGGGTTTAGGGTTTAGGGGTTAGGGGTTTAGGGTTTAGGGTTTAGGGGTTTAGGGGTTTAGGGGTTTAGGGTTTAGGGTGTAGGGTTTTACGAACTTTGGGGATTTTGGGGCGTTGGCCTCTTGGTCGCACGGGTGCGCCGCCTGGCGGGTGTCCAAATCTGGGGGAAATATTTTTTCGCAGAGTCCAGTCCGCGGAACCCTAGACCCCAGACCCGAGACCCTAGACCCCAAACCCCAACCCCAAACCCTAAACCCTAAACCCTAAACCCTAAACCCTAAACCCTACACTACAGCATTTGGGTCTCGGGAACTTAGGGCTTTTCGGGTCTCTAGTGTAGGGGCTATGAATATGATTGGAGGTTTGCAAGCTGATGATATATAATTCCCAGACCTTTAAAAATTGAATTCCAAAGGTTTTGATCAGATACCCAAAGATTCCTATTGTAATAGATATCCAAATATTCCCAGACCTTTCAACAATTGAATTTCAGAGGTTTTGATCAGATATCTAAAGAATCCTAGACCTTGACAATGGACATATTAGAGATATTAATCAAATATTCAGAGATCCTCAAACCATCAAAATATGTATTTTGATTGCAAATTAGAAATAGATATCCAAAAATTTCCAAGTCTTTAATACCTGAATATCAAAGGTTTTAATCAAATATCCAAAGATTCCTATACCAATAGATATCCAAATATTCCCAGATCTTTCGAACAAATTGAATTCCATAAATTTTGATTAGATATCTAAAGATTCCTAATTCTTCGCAATATCAATCCTAGAAATCTTGAATAAATATTCACAGATCTTTAAATCTGGAAGAAAAACATAGCCCCCCCAGACCCTCCAAGCAGACTCCACCAAGCTCCCACATAGCCCAACATAGCCAGATCCTCTGATTTCAAGCAAGACCATGCTCCCACATGGCCCAACATAGCCCCCCCAGACCCCCCAAGAAGCCTCCACCAAGCTCCCACATAGCCCAGCATAGCCCCCCCCCAGAACCTCCAAGAAGACTCCACCAAGCTCCCACATAGCCCAACATAGCCCCCCCAGACCCTCTAATGAATATATAATGAATATAATGAATATAATGAAGATAATGAATATAAGGAGTATAATGAATATAATGAATATAATGAATATAATGAATATAATGAATATAATGAGTATAATGAATATAATGAATATAATGAATAAAGTGAATATAGTGAATATAATGAATATAATGAATATCATGAATATCATCGACGTGGTCAACATAGCCCAACATAGCCCCCCCAGACCCTCCAAGAAGACTCCACCAAGCTCACACATAGCCCAGCATGGCCCCCCCAGACCCTCCAAGAAGCCTCCACCACATAGCCCAACATAGCCCCCCCAGACCCTCCAAGAAGCCTCCACCAAGCCCAACATAGCCCCCCCAGACCCTCCAAGAAGCCTCCACCATGCTCCCACATAGCCCAACATAGCCCAACATAGCCCCCCCAGACCCTCCAAGAAGCCTCCCCAAAACCCTTCTCTTCCCTTCTCTTCTCTTCTCTGTTCTCTCTTCTCTTCCCTTGTCTCTTACCTATCCTGGTCTCTTCTCTCTTCTCTCTTGTCTCTTCTCTCTTCTCTCTCCTCTCTCCTCTCTCCTCTCTCCTCTCTCCTCTCTTCTCTCTTCTCTCTTCTCTCTTCTCTCTTCTCTCTCCTCTCTCCTCTCTGCTCTCTTCTCTCTTCTCCCTTCTCTCTTCTCTCTTCTCTCTTCTCTCTTCTCTCTTCTCTCTCCTCTCTCCTCTCTCCTCTCTCCTCTCTCCTCTCTCCTCTCTTCTCTCTTCTCTCTTCTCTC